AGGAAAGATAGTGTAGTTGGGGAAATACTAGCCACAGAAGCCTGAGGACCTGAATTTGATCCCCAGCACTTATGTAAAACACTTGTTATTCTAGACTGGAGAGGCAGGGACAGGCAAGTCCCTGGTGCTCCCTGCCAGCCTACCTATCCTGATTAGAGAGCCCCAGATCCGAGTGAGAGATTTTGTGGTAAAAAACAAGATGGATGAGGAACACCAGAGGCTGACCTCTAGCTAGCATGTACATGCCGTGCACTAATACAAACATTGGGTCACAACAGCCCTATAATACCGATGCTATCAGTACTTGTAGTGTACAGATGAGGCAAACTGCAGTTGTCCTTCCCCAGGCTGGCCTTATTGATTGCTTTATAGTATGAGACAAACAATTATCTCAATAAAACAAAGCCTTCCTATGTAGCGCTGCCTGTCCTGGAACTTGCTCTATAGACCAGCCTGGCCTAGAACTCACAGAGATCTATCTGCTTTGCCCCTGACTCCAGAGTGTAGGATTAAATGCATGTGCCACCATGCCTGGCTATCTTAATTTTTAAAAATATGAATTATGCCTCATAAGCAACCTGCCCAAGGACACGGTGCTAATAAAAGCAAGGATTTGACCTGCAATTCCTAATTCTCTTTTCAGGTCACCAGAACTGCTCAGCTCATTAGCTCCCTCTCTCATGCTCTCACTGACTATTTCCAATGCATCTATGAAGTCTCTAATTTTAAACTTTAGTTTTATTATTACTATTGTGTGTGTGTGTGTGTGTGTGTGTGTGTGTGTGTGTTATATTTGTGTATTGTGCATGTATGTGTGTGTGTGGTGTGTGTGTGAATGTGTATGTGTGGTGTGTGTGTGTGCGTGTGTGTGTGTGTGTGGTATGTGGTGTGTGTATATATGTATGGTTTGTGATTGTGTATGAATGTGGACACAGGAGTGCCTCTGTGCACATGAGGATGTCAGAAAACAATTATTAGGAGTTGGTGCTCTCCTTCCACCATAGCCTCTAGGGATCAAAGTTGAGTCATCAGCCTTGCACAGCAAGCACTTTTACCCACTGAGCCATCCCGCTGGCCCAGATTCCTGAATTCTCAACTGCCTATCCTAGGACACTCAACTTGGCCCCAACTCTCATGATCACAGCCCATCAGCTGTGCTTAAGAGGTATTCTGCAAAGACCCCCTAGTGGAGCATGTACAATCCCACAGCCTCTGCCCAGAGAAGGGATGAGGTTTAATTCCTCAGACTCTGGTAGGACTAGCAAGTCACTGCATCAAATGCCAGCCAACTTGGCCCCTAGCAAAGTAGAGCAGGCAAGTCTTCTCAGAGCTAAAAGACCCACAGCTACATCCAGCTTACCTGGCCCCAATACTGGCTCTCCCCTCTGCTCCTTTCTGCCTATGGTCATACAGCTGAGTGATCCAAGCATGGACGGCGGGTGACAGACCATACCTCCCAGGGGCATTTGAGATCTATGACATGAGAAGCTATGACCCCTGGAGACCAGGAAAAGTCAGTACCCCAATACTTAGGAAAACAAGTCCAGGGTTGGCTCAGCAGGTAAAGTGCCTCTCTGGCACCAAAATACACTGGGCAGATGGCATATGCCTGTAATCTAGGCATTGGAGGTAAAGGAGGATCAGAAGTTCAAGGTCATCCTCAACCACATAGTGAATTCAAGTTCTACCTGGAATACATGAGACACTGTCTCAAACAAATACACAACAAACAAGTTGTTCAGTGTTGCCAAATGACAGAGAGCAGAGCAGGCAATGTTTCCGGGGAGGGGCTCCAGAGGCCTGGCTTGGGACACAGTAACCTTCAGCCCAGAAGATGCAAAAGAAAAACAGAAGCGAAGACTAAAGAGAAGCCAGGGACCAAAGGGGCAGCAAACAGGAAGGAGGCAGGTCATCGTAGAGTTATTTGCCAGAATGAAGGAAGCAAGATGCAGGGTGATGATACAGCGTGTCACTTCCTCTCAAACTTTCAAAGGCTCTTTGTTGACCACACCAGTACCAAACCAAAAACCCTCTGAGAGGGGAGGCATGACAAGCCTCCACATCTGCCTGGGGCTTCTGTTCCCTAGAGCCCTCCTCTTCTTCCTCAGTACCGAATCCCTAGGACCCCTAGTCCTTCCAACTTACCCCATGTCAGAGGGGAAGAGCAAGACTCTGAGATCAACTGACCTGTGATCTGAAAGGTGAGCCCTACCTCACCTGATGGTGGATGATGAAAGGATCATTCTTGAAAGCACTTTGAACTGTGTTGGCACACAGTAAGTGCTCAAGAAACAGGCCGTTTATTCCTATTGTCCTCTGGACCTTCAGAACCCTCTTCCTACCACAGGTAGGGCACTGTCTCAAACGTATTAGTTACAAGCTGGGCTACCTCAGCCAACCACAGACTTTGACATGGGGCAAACCAGAACTCTGGCCTCACTGCCCTGATGGCCAGCAAATTCAGGGCACACAGAAGACACTCAGTAAGTATTTGCTGCCCCGAAAAGCCTCGGCCAAGGTCCTGGGGCAGACCCCACATAGAACTCTGACAGCCCAGCTCCAGACCTCCCAGCACTCACACTAAATCCCCAGTCTCATTTGCTGCTACTGGCTTTCAAAACAATAAAGGGCTGTACCCTGCCTTGCCTAGCAGTTTCTACTCCAGGGACCATAGAGAGAGAAATGAGCACAGCAGGGACTGGAAATAGCACTGAGCCACTCTTGGGGAGAGGACTGGGCCGGCAGGCTGGCCAGCAAACAGGAACAAAACCTCATAGATAGAGAACGGGAGAGAATTGAAGATACGGCTCAGTGGCACACTGCCTGCCTAGGGTGCCTGAGCCCCGATTCAGTGCACAGGACAAAAAGAGAAAGAGAATGACAGAAAGCAGACCCTACACAAGGGTCCAAGTCCACAGAACTCAGCCAGTGTCCTGAAATAGGACAAGCTAGTCACATCCTTCCAGTCTAGAAGCTCTTCTACTCTTTCCTAGTACAACCCCACCACCCTGGGAGCAACTTACAACCCATCCCCCAGGACTGCACAAGAGCACCCAGGTCAGACCCTGGGGGATATTTAGAGCCTCTCCACTCATACTAGCCAATGGGGTCACCATCTATGTCCACCTCCCCAGCAGCCTGGGAGCCTCTAGAGGCAGGTAGCAGGTCCTGTCCCTCCTCCGTGTTCTACTCCAGGGACATCAAGGAGAGAATGAGCATAGCCGGGACTGGAGATAGCCCTGAGCCTGGCACACAGTAGATGCTCAGTAAGTTACAAGGCAACTTGGCAAGACATAGTTCCTGACTCAAGGGTGATGGATTCCACCGGAGCTTACTAGTAAGCTGACATGTGAGTCACTAATTTCCTCCCCCTACCTGCTGCCTCAGTTTCCTCGTCCACAACTATGCACAATACTCTACTCACACAGCTGCTGTGAGAAGGCACTAGGAAAATATACAGAAAAAGCAAAAAGCCCCTGAGGAATGTTAGTCACCCAGCTTGAGCTCAACTGTCCCTTTGTACTGAAGTCAGTTTTTTTGCTGGCCTGCTCCCCCTCCCCACACCTAGCGGTAAACCCACCTCTGTACAACTCTGCCTTTGTCTTGTGTCTCTGGAATCCCTGTGGTTATTTGTTTCCAAGTTTGATTCTGCCCAGCTACCTGAGAGAGAGTTCTCAGATGCCTGGATCATGGAATCTGTGTCCTGGTTAACACCAGCCCGGCTTCGAGGGCCCCCACCCTTCCAACTCTGGCACAGAGTTCCAACACAGAACTCTCAAGAAGTTCAGACATACAGAGCCCAAGGGCCTACCAAACTTGTTGACTCGGGAAGGGATGCTGCAAACAGCCTATCAAGAAAGCCAAATCTCAGCTGGGAGTTAGTGGCAGCACACACCTTTAATTCCAGGTCTCAGGAGGAAGAGGCAGGTGGATCTCTGAGTTTGAGGCCAGCCTAGTCTACAGAGTGAGTTCCAGGACAGCCAGGGTTACACAGAGAAACCCTGTCTTGAAAAACAAAACAAACAAACAAAAGAAAAAAAGCCAGACCTCTCAGACCTGCACCTCTGCTCTGTGTGTGTGTGTGTGTGTGTGTGTGTGTGTGTGTGTGTGTCTGACTGTGTATGTGTGCTGGCTGAGTCTGCAGCATTAGCCTCCAGGGCACAGATTCCTACTTCTCTCCTTACTGCATACAGCACCTGGCAGTCAGATGAATAATACATGGTCCTTCACCTCACACACAGGAATCAGGCAGACACCTGCTTTGCCTCACCGAGGCCTGCAAGGGAGGGAGGAATGAGATGCCCGGCCTCATACAGTCCCCCAGAAAGGCTACACACTAGAAATTTGTTTCCAGTCCCCAGACTCCCTTGTCTTGCCACTGCCTAAAGCCCCTTAGCACTAGAGTCCTATCCAAGCAAGGTATCCAAGGGTGTGCACAGGATAATAGGCGCAACACACAGGTCGGAAGCACACACTCAACCCAATCTCTAGGATTCCTTTGAACACCAACATTCTGGGGCCCCGGATTCCTATTTGTCCTCCTCCAAATCTACTGACCTGTGTGCAAGGCACGCGCGCGCGCGCGCGCGCGCGCGCACACACACACACACACACACACACACACACACACACACACACACACACACACTCGTCCCCATGTTCGCTTGCACCACCTCGAAAGCCGACCACCCGGCCAGGTCAAGGCCACCGCATCAGGGATGGATGGACGCCTCCCCATCCCGTTCAGTCGTGCCAGGCTGAATGCAGCACACCCACCGCGGCGCGCATAGTCCGCCGGTAAGAGGCTGGGCGCCGCGCCGCCCATCCTGCTCCCCCAGGCAGGTCGGGTTACTCTCAGGGCCCCGCCACGCTGGCGGAGAGGGCACACCCACGGGCCGCGCGGGGGCCTGTGAGTCCCTTCCTCCCGCGGGGAGCCCCCAGCATGGGGCTGCGCCCTCGCCCGGTCCCCGCTCATCCCGAGCATCCCTCCGCCCGGGTACCTCAGGAGCCCATGGCGCTGGCCACTGCGGGCGGAGCTGGAGGCGCCGCAGCCCGGTACCTTCGCCGCCGCTGGCGCGTCCGGAGCCCAGCCGAGTACCGCCGCGACGCGCCTGCGCACTCGGAGCGCCGCTGGCGGGGGCGGGGCAGAAACGCGCGGCTGAGGTCACTCGCCGAGCCTTAAAGGGGCGGCGTGCTGCGAAGCCCCAAAAGCGCATCTCGGGTCAGGAGGACGGCTCTGGCCTCTCACAACTCGCAAACGCACTAGGAGAGACCTAAGGCCCAGATTTCCGAGTGCTACCCACCACAGTCCTGGGATGCACAGACTGACCCGCTCTGACACAGTCCTGGGATGCACAGATTATGCCCTGGACACCCGCGGGCTGGCCAGCGCTTCAAGCTTTTTCTGCGCCTACGCTGAAGGTGAAAGGAAGTCTAGTAGTGGCCGTTTGCGACGTGTAGGGTGGGTGTGAGGCTATGGAGCGTACTTCCACGGAGCGTTTTGTGCAGTTATGCAAAATGAAACTGCAAAGCACCAAAAGAGGCTTTTTCTTTCCACTCCACCCAGCTACCGTGGGTCCTGCCTCATCTCGTTCCAGGCCGCCTAAGAAACCGAATTCTGCAAGTGTCATTCCAGCCCCCTACCTCATTTTGATTTGCGAGGTCCCCACGTCTTACCCAGTTAACTGAAATGCGTAATAGGCAACCAAGTTTATTTTTATCTCCTGCTCCAACTGTCTACTGACGCCTCTTACTTAGAGGGCCCAACCGCCTCCTCTTCCACACCCGTTTCCTAACAGCATTCCCCCATCACTGCTTCCAGTCTCCAGGTCAGAAAGTCTGGAATCATCCTCGAATCTCCCACTATCCACTTGGGCAGGACATCCTGCCTCCCTAGACTCTGACCCCCTCCACCCCACCCCACTACAGCCATGTGATCCAGGCTCTGCCCAGGTATTGTGGACTAAGAGAGCTCGGATTTTCCAACCTTATCCTCTGCCAGTCTGTGTCAGTGTAATGTGGGAATCAGAGGGATTCCTTTAAAACCTAGGTCTAAGCCGGGCAATGGTGGCAAGCGGGGCAATGGTGGCATGCATGCCTTTAATTCCAGCTGAGGAACACTTGCTTAGCATTCATCAGACCCTGGGTTTGATTCGTTGCACCACAAAAATATAAATAAATAGATGATAGATAGATAGATAGAGATAGATAGATAGATCCCAAGTTAAACTATAGCACTTTGCTCAAAACCCTCCACTAGTTCCTCATTAAATTCCAATAGAAGCTGAGATCTTCAGATGCCTGCACAGGCCTTAATCTGGCATTCTCTTCTCCAGGAATGCCTGACCTTGCCTCCTCCTATCCCTGGGCACAGGCCTCTTGCTGTCCCTACAGTCAGGTGAAGGCACTCAGTTTCCAGGCCCTTGCACCTGCTGAGATTGCAGGTTCCCCAGACACACCTTCAAAGGCTTGCTCTGCTGGCTGCACTAGGAAAGCCAGGGAGGCAGAATTGTTCTACCAGAACAACCTACTAAGTATCTATCAGAATAAGATTGCTGAGCCCCTGACATGCACATTCAACACTTCACTGTGCCCTATTCTCCTAAGAACATCGTTTTTATTTTTTATCCTTCATCTTCTAGTTGAAGGTAAGTTCCAGAAAGACTGTTGCATTAACATTTTCTAGGGAGATATGGACAAACATCCAAGTAGGAGGGCGTCAGCTCACAACAGACCAACAATCCCACACGTCTCCCTCGATGACCCTGTGAGTTTATTGGACTTACTATGGCAGCATGAGTGAGGGGCTACTGACAGCTGTAACGTGTGACTCTCCGTCTGCTGCATGTGGTCTCTGGAGCCTTGGAGATTTAGGGGGTAGAAAATTAATGGAAGGGGGGGTAGTCCTATGAAGCTATGGGGAGGTCATTACCCATGCTGGATTGAGACCTTTAGGTGATGTGGCTTTTTTTTCCCCCATCACCCACCCATCTATCTATAAGCAACCCTTCACTCTGGCTCCTAAAAGCAGCTGTAATAAAATAGGTTCACCAACCTAGACTGGGAAGACTCATTTTTTTGTTCTGCAGTTGGTGTCTTACCTGGGACAAGAAGTTCACATCTCCCCAGGAAAAGTGAATGCAGCAAGGACAAAGATGTCTGACCTTTTGTTTCCTGACATAAACCAGTATCCAATACTGGGATTAAGGTGGCAATTGTGAAGACAGCATCTGTAGCATGTGCAAATATAATAGCTGGGTCTGAAAGGGAAAACCCTGTGCAGGACGAAAGGTGCCTCAGGGGGTAACGAATGGTGTTTGACAACCTGAGTTTGACCCCTAGCACCTACATGATTGAAGGAGAAAACAAGCTCCTACAAATTGTCCTCTGATTTATATGCATACACAGTGATACAAACATACATGTCTTTAATTATACCACTTGGGAAGCAGAAACAAGTGGCTCTCTGTGAGTTCAAGACCAGCCTGGTTGTAGCAACTTCTAGACCAGCCATGGCTATGTAGTGAGACAGTCACTCAACATATAAATAAATAAGCAGGGCAGTGGTGGCACAGACCTTTAATCCTAGCACATGGTAGGCAGAGGCAGGGGGGGTGATTTCAAGGCCAGCCTGGTCCAGCCAGAACTGTTTCACGGAGAAAAGCTTCGGGGAGCGGGGGGGCAGAGAGAAATCCTATCTGAAAAACCCAAAAGATAAATAAATAATCACAAAGGAAGAAAGAAAGAAAGAAAGAAAGAAAGGAAAGAAGGAAGGAAGGAAAAAAGGAAAGAAGAAAAAAGAAAGGAAGGAAGAAAGAAAGAAAAGAAAGGAAGATGTCTTCCCAAACCAGGATTGAAATACCCTTTAGTTCACAACTCCTTTGTTCCCCTCCAGACTTGCTAACCCCTCTAGGGCAAAGTCCTTGCCCCCAGTTGTCACCATATCTACACCACTTACAAACCAGACTCACTTTGATAGCCCCTGGCCCCTTCCAGAGCTGTTGAGCTGAACCACATAGAAATCCAGAATTTTAGTCCCTGCACCCCAGGAGTACTCATGACTCTCAACTTACAGAAGCCTTGTTGGCAGGGGCATTGGCAGGTGGTGAATATTTTAGGCAGGAATTGCCAAAAAAGGCCCACAAGACAGAGTGCCCCCCACACACACATTCAAAATTAAAATTAATTACACAATCTAAAAACATAGTCTCCCAACATGGTTAGTCTGGCCATGGAGGAAATTATTAGGAATAATATTATATGATAAAGGCTGGAAGAAGTTTGTGTGGCAACCAGGCTTGAACTCTATTTTTACAAAGTGTTGCAAAGGTTGACAGGAGTTGTAGCAGATAGGCTATCAAAGGAGCCTCCTAAGTAGCAGAGTTATGAGTAGTGATTTTTTTTAATTTTCCAAAATTTGTTTTCTAAAGCATGTAATATCTTCAAACTTAGCAAAGAGTTATTTCAAAAAATGATGTGTTGTCCCCATATGTGTTTTCTTCTCATTTTGCATCATAATTCATCTGAGGAGACAGAGGCCATCTGCAGAGTGGGGATGCAGGGTCAGTTTATCTCCATACCCTATCATGCCTGGCTCAGTAAACAGCCACAGATGAAAGGTCTACCCCACCAGGTGGTGGTGGTGCATGCCTTTAATCTCATCACTCAAGAGGCAGAGAGAGGTAGATCCCTGTGAGTTTGAGGCCAGCCTGGTCTACAGAGTGAGTTCTAGAACAGCCAACCAGGACTGTTTCATAGAGTAGCAGCCCTGTCTTCAAAAATTAAAAAAAAAAGTCTACCCCAATACTGGGAAGGAGACTGAAGCCCAATGTAAAGTTACCTCTCCTTCCAGTCCCCTCCTGGCTTCTGGTAGGGAAGTGTAGAAGGGAGAGCAGGAGCCTCTGGCATGCATGCTGAAGAAGGGCCCAGCTCACCCCCAGTCTCTGTTATCCTCCTGTTTCCAAATACACTGTAGGAGACCCAGTCAGGTGCCCAGAGGGTCAGTATGAGTAGCAGGCAGAAGTGCTTCCCAGCAGAATGGCCTTAGGAATATAGCTTTGTCCTCTGAGCCTCAGTTTCCCCACCTGCCGGTATTTTGCTGCTGTGTCCAGAGCAGTGACTCCTGAAACCCCCAATTCAAGCCCTGTCAGAATCAGACCTTCTGGTAGCAGCAGACTGGCATCTAATACAAAGTAAGCTAAACACAGAAGTGACTGGCTCACTTAAGTTCAAGGTGGAGGATTTGAGGATTCATACATGGTCAACAGGGTGCCTTGCTTTATTCCTTCTGTCTCTTGCTTGCTCCCCCACTGTGTGTGTGTGTGTGTGTGTGTGTGTGTGTGTGTGTGTGTGTGTGTGTGTGTGTGTGTGTGTGTGTGTTGGCTGCATTCCCAGTTGGCCTTTCACCCCACTGACTGAGAGTTCACCTCTTTCCCAAGAATTCCAGTATATCCCAGGGCTGCCTGATTGGCCCATCTTGTGATAATGGTATCATCTCTGAGCCAGTCATTGAAGAAAGGAAATGTCATGAGTGATGAGCTGGGCCTGGATGAAGATCCTGCCCTGAGAGACTGTAGGTGATTGTGTTCTTCTGAACCCAGGGTACTCAGGAGGGACAGGTGAGTACCTGAAGAACGTCAGTATTATAGCTGGAGGGAGAAGGAGCACCTGGGAAGAAACTGCCTTGGGGCAGGAGAGCAGATAAGGAAGTTGAGGTCACTCTCCTTGGGTCACCCAGAAAAGACCAGCCTGGTGGGACCGAAATGCAACCTTCCCTAGAGCAGAGACATAAGAAGTAGAGCAAAGCCACCAGGAGGGGGTGGTTCTCTGGAGGCCTGTAGCCTATACAATGGCCAAACCACCTGGCTTGGACTCCAGCTCTGCCTCTGACAGTAGGACAACCTTAGGCAAGTCCTTGAGACCCATGAAACCTGTTTCCTCGACTGTCCCAGAAGCCCCCTTTCAGGGCCAGGGCCAGTCTGGATAAATGAAATCATGCCTATGACACCAGCATTTGAGAAGTAGAGGCAGCAGGATCGGGAATTTAAATCCAGCTTTGGATACATAGCAAGTTCAAGGCTAGCCTCAGGTACAAGAGATACTGTCTCAGAAAACTGAAAAGCAAAAA